CCCAGAAGAGACCAGGACAAGTTTTACAGAGAAGATCTGCCCATATCTCTGCTGCAATATTATTCTCTGAAAGCTGTTCCCTAGAAAATATGTTGCCCTCACATCTCCAGCCAACATCTGGCCTGAGAACCCCTGCTATACAGATATGAATACAGTCCCAGTCTTAACACATTGCTGAACTTCCCACTGAGGAGGAGGAAAATGTAAGAAAAGGGAGGGATGTAACACTGCCTTCAACTCTACCAGTACAGATTTATGACCCTGTTGAAAAGGTGCTCCAAGATCTGCTGCAAGATAGTTGTTGGCTCCCTAGAAGTACCTTTTAAATTCCACCCCTCCCACATTGGAAAGGTGTGGTCTTCATTCTGCACACAAATAGCCATGAAAATAGAAAAATATTTGTAAATGCAAGTATAGGTCCAGATAACCCCTAAGACTGCTTATCTTTCCTTAAAGTTATGAGTTGCATAGACAGAAGTGCCAAGTGTATACATCCCTTGCCAAGAGTGTGCAACAGGGTTTAGAGCACTGGGGCACTGGAGGCCTGGTTGTCTTCCCTACCCTGCCTCTCATCTGCTCTTCTCTTTGTCAAGCCCCTCCACTTTCCTGTACATATAAAGTTTAGCAATACTAATAACACACACTTTTATTGTAAAGCATTAACATCTGCTAAAGCAATTAGAATATTCATTCATATTAATAAGAATAATCAGTGGTGCCTATTGGAAGCAAAAACATACAGGAAGAGAACAGAAAGCATTTAGCTGGAAATATAACAGTTGGGAGAAGTGTCTGTGTCATGTGTTGTAAATGTGGAAAACAGAATACAAAAGGCCCTTTTAATTCACATAGATTCACAACCCCTCATATACCACGTTTGGTGCTGATTTATTTGAATTAAGATGGCAAGAAAACCTCCTCTCGCTGTTTTTTGTTGCATTTTTTAGTTTAGTTTTCTTTTGTTTTTAATCAAGATCTTGCTCAAGCCCTGTGAGTAAGAATTCAGTAACACGTTGTAAATCACATTTTGCAAGTTCTGTGACTTCAGATGAGATAGTAAAAGATAATGCTGTATAATTCACATGTGGCTGGTTTGTCATTCAGGCACCACATGTCAGATTCTCCCTCTACACAGCTGAATGTGTGAGCAAAAAAGCTGTAGAGACTGCAAATAATGTAATTTTAAGGCCCTGGTAATTAGAATGTGTTGCTGAAACAATTCAGAGTCTTATGAGTGCAAGCCGAAGCCATTTATAAAACAATCTTTGAGTAAATTCAATTTATCATGAAACTTTTCCAAAAGAGGAATTGAAAAAGAGCTCAAAACCATCAACCAACCGAAACAGAAGTAATACACAGTGAGCAGTCAAACCTTTCCCCTGTAAATGGTAGAGAAAATTATATTCCAAAACAAAAGTGTGACATCCCATCATGATAACAGGAGGTTTCTCAAAGCTTCACATACAAAATAAACATCTGAGTAAAACTTTTTCAACAATGTTATGTTATTTTTAAGGTGTCAGGGATTGTCACTGGCTACAGTTGCTCAAACGAGGTCTAAGCAGAGTGACTGTCCTAAACCTGTCTTTGGAGAGAAATAGGTGATTTGCAATCCAAAAAAAGCAACTTTTCTTTGTTGTCCCTAAGAGAGTCTCAGTTAATGTGTCTACATCATAGGTGTAACTCACACCACTCATGCATTTATCATTTACCAAAATGAGGCCCCAAATGGTCTGACAATTGACCCACATGGTAATGTAAAGACTAAGTGCTGTTTTATAGTTTTATACATCCCAGTATGCAAAACAATCAGCTGTGCTCTCATATGCAGCAAGTAAGGCCTGGTTTCTTATTCCTGAAGATACACAAGCCCCTCGACTGTCTTCATTTTCACTAGCTGCCTAATCACTCACACAATTGCATATTTACCTGAACTGCAGAAGGGAGAGTCATGGCACTGTTAAGGACGTGTCAGCATTTCAGATAGATGCAGAGTGGAATGAAGCATGATCATTGTTTTGCTTGAAGACATCCACACCAACAACTCTCCAAGACCTCTCTAGCTGGGTTTTGCACAGGTCCAATGTATTGCTATGTGCTCAGCTACCAGACAGCTTTGCTACATTAATTCTGGGGTTTTTGGGTTTTCAGCCCTTGAGGTTCCAGTTGTTAAGGATGTTGAAACCCTCAACAACCTGAAAAAGAGCAAAGCTCTTGTGTCCTAAATGATAATGGAAGAGTCTTCATAACTAGAGAAACGGATATAGCTACAGATAAGAGTAAATTTTTATATAATTATGTACATGTTGAATTAAATATGTGTGTGTATATTATGCATAAATATATATAAAATAACAGGTATTCGATAGGACAAAGGAAAAGAACAAAAAGTTCCTGTATTATTTGGTACTACTGAAGAAGAGATTATCTGAACAGGTTTACATGAAAACATGACTACATTTACTTCTCCAGAGCATGTAGAAAGTTTGGTGCCACTATCCTTAATTACAGAGGGATGATCAGTTATGGATTTATTAGGAATTTTAAAAAGCATTTTTCCTTTCTAGTGTATTTTGAGTACTAGCACTTGGAGGTATGAATTGAAGGTATGATTTTTATTAGAAATGTAGATGGTTCACCATTGGCTGTCTAAGAAGCAACAAAATAAAAGTAATTTTGCAAAATGTCTGTACCAAAAATGAACTATAACAAAATCTGTCCATAACCATTGATGATCTCCTGCTTTTCCTTTTAAAAAGGATACATCAAGTCAGTGTCATTTTGTCATGCATCTAAGAAGCAAAGCCACAGCAGAGGAAAACATTATTACAGGTTTATTATGTCTCAAAATATAGAAATATATTCCAACAGCATATTTTAAAGAATAATATAACAATAATCTTCAGCTTCTTAGTCTCAAAATGGTACACCATTATTTGAAAATATATTACTTAATGTACCCAAAATTTAGTGTCCATCAAATTCCATTTAGAATAAATTGAATTCAAAAAAGCATATCCACCTACTCAATTTATACAAAAAACCAGTAATTTTTGAATATGACAGAGGAGTTTAACTTTTCTAAAATGGTAATTCAGATGCAGACCTTTTTTCCTATACATTTTTTGTGCATGAACTGCAACTAAATCTAGATATGTAGGTAATGTCAGTATAAAATACAGATGGGAATGTAAAATGGAACTGTTCTATTAAGGGGAAAGATTTCCCAAGGCTGAAATCAGTACTGCTAATTTTTTTAATTGAGTGTATGCATAGAAAGGATTTATGTACTACTTCAATAGCAAGATAAAATAAATTAGTTTCTGCAAAAACAACAGCTGCCTATTCACATGCATACACACAGTCACACACATGCTGATTTTATCAGTCTGTAATCATCTGAGTTTTCTGAGATGTGTTTTAAATAACCAGAGAAGTCAGAGTTTACATGATTAGACTGTCTAAGAAGAAACTTACCAATCCTATCCATTTTTAGCAGCTCTTTGAGAATGGTTTAAAGGAAGCATTTTTAATGAAGGCAGTTCATTATAAAAGCGTATGTGATAATTAGCCATGTAATAGAGAGAAAAACACTTCTATTTTCTCACTTTCCCAGCACTAAAACAAAGGGGTGCCCAAAGACATTAAGTGTAATTAATTCAAAATAAACCTGTGTGTAGTGGTGATGGGAATGGTAATTTGTAATTGGTTGTGTAATTCAAAGCCAAAGGATTTAACTTGAGGCCAAAATTTAGTGGGAATAAAAACTTGTTGGTATGGATTTAAGAACTATTAAAGTTGCAAGTGTTAAATAAAAGAAAAAAAGTATCCCTTATTGAGTCCCATTATTTAACTCAATTCCCACCTGATAGAAAAGCAAATGGAACTGCAAATAGGCTGCAAGTTACTCAACATCATCTTAGGAAAGGTGTTTTTTATCTTTACCTGAAAACAGCCACCACCAGGGATAAGATTTTTGATTAAACATGAGACAACTGCTGCACCCCCTGTGCCTTCCCTTGCACACTCTTAGAACACATCCAGAAGCGGGAGCTAAATAAGCAAAGCCCTTCCATACCCTGTATTCTGTATACTTTGTGCATATAGTAGCATGTGTATGTAATGGGAAGGCTTGTGTGGCTTTTTTAAATTTGATTTTGGCTTGTTTTACACTAATATAAAAATACCTGCCAGAGCAGTGTCATAGATAACAGAATGATATGATTTGAGGTAAGAATGTTGTAGTTCAATTTTTAGTGTTAACTTGGAAAGTCATAGATAGAGGTGAGAGTCTGTCTACACAGAATTTCTGAAGCCTGGAGCCTTTTGCAAACTCTGCAGGTCACAAGCCAAAAAGTAACATACTCCTCCAGTTATACTCATCTTGTTAAAGAAAATAGTTATAACAATTATGTGCAATTTCTTCACTTCTATTTTTTATCTCCTATTTATTTACTTAAGCACTGTTCAACATTTCACTTTTTCTAATGGAGCAGAAGTTCTAAAAGAAAAAAAAAAATGTTTAGCTGAGGAGTTTTGTTTAGTTTTTTTCTTCCTGTGCCTTTTTCTAAATAAATACCTTGCCACAGTTTTCATTGGCAAAATATGACCAAATGCATTTAGTACTTCTAACTATACAAAGCAGTTACAGAACTTCTGGAGTTTCTCGTTTAAAAAAATTCCATACAAAAAGGCTTTACTTTACAATATTGAAATGGGATAAAGCAAATTTCAGTATGGTCAATGGAAAAATGAATTTGTGAACTTCTGCTGCATAGTGAGGTGACCCATTAAATAAATGGTTCTGAAATTTTGCTCATACAAAAGCAACTATATATTTTTAAATAAATAAAAGCTACTATGTACATTATACTGTACAATTAAATGAGAGATGACATGAAATGGAATAAATTTAGGCCTGCCTTTTCATCAGCAATGCTCATATCTTGACTTCATTACAATTTTGAATAAAACCCTCTGCTTTAGATTATTTTTTTGTTTTAGTGGCAGCCACATGAACGCACCACCATATTCCTGTATTTTTTTAAAATAACATTGGAACTGTCATCAAAGTAGAGCACGGAGATTGCATTCAGTTTTGTTGGTGCACAGCATGGCTTGGGTACATGATCGGGGAACATCAAGTGAACCTGAAAGACAGATAAATACACAGCTCATATATCAAACAGAGAGGTGCAAGGACAATGTCAGTGCAAAACATGTCTTTGCAATTCAGCAAGGGCTGTGGTCACAAATTTTCCTTGGTTAGCAAGTTTAAAGTACAGCTTACCTCCAGCACATTTTTCTGATTTCAGTTGCACAGGCAGGGTTATACAATAAAAGCAGATGGAGAGATAAATGAGAAGCAGCCAAGACAGAAAGTTGGTTTTCAGATAAAATTTAGAGAATTGGAGTTAGGCAGCTGCTCAGGAAGACATTTAAACATATTGTCTGTACTATCTTTGCTGAGGGTGGGGCATAACATGAAGCAAAGGCTCAAGCCCCAGGTCTCACCAGGACCCAAGCATGTGCTAAAATGCTTTCCTGTGGTGGGGGCTCAGTATGGAGGAAAATCTATTGCAGACAGCAAAGGCTGTGCAGGCAAAGCTTCATAATGAAACTGTTTTCAGCCTATGAAATGATAAGATGTGGAGTCTCAGACAGTATGAGTGCATTTTAAGGTCTTATCTAGGTATCTATGGAACCAATTCTACTTCCACTGAAATAAAAATCCGTTCATAAGGTGGGTGCCAGCTGGACAGAATATTTGGGGCAGGGGCTGAGGCAGAGAAGTCTTTATGTTCACCAGGCTGAAATATATCAATGAAAGATTAAAGCAAAAGAAAATAGTTTTGAAAAGTGTCCCAGAACAAACAAGATCTAGTGGAAATAAAATGGGAGAAATTCAAGTTCTTTGTACTTGAAAGAAGGTTGGATGTAATATTCTACACACGCTGAAGACTTGGAATCTGGGGAGCCAAGAGAAGAGGGAGTTGTAATAGAGAGGGCAACAGATTATTAAGGCATGGATGAAGACTTCAGCAGTAATAGATTTTGCTTGTATGTTAAGTCTTTGTAAATCTGTTAGAGCCATCTGTCTTGCAGTGATATAAACCCAGAGCCTTTGCCAGACAACAGAGAACAGTCTATCAGGAAACAATTTTTACATAACAGTTACCATGAGAAGGCCTTTTGAAATGAGCAATAATAAATCCTGAAGTAGCTGTTTTGTAACAGTTTAGACACACATTTAAAAAATATTTAACAAATGAATAGCAAAGCACCAGAGAAAAAAAAATGATTGTGCCTGACCTGGTCAGATGTTTGTCCAGCCATAAATCGTGGTCTTAAATCCACCAGCCCCTGCCACCCCTGATGGAAGATCCGTGGCCCCACAATATCCCCTTGGAAGTGATGCTCACAGCCTTTCCAAGTGTTTACCCCAAATTCAGTGCAAGCCAACCTGATAATCCACTGCCTTGCATGACCAGGAAGTCAATGCTACCCCTGTGCCTGTTCTGAGGGTGATGCAGGAGACGAGAAGAAAGTTTATAGAGCTTATTAAATGCACCCTGTCTTTTATTTATATGCATCTGTATTGTCTGTTTGCCTGAGTTTAATTGCAGAGAAACAAGAGAGGGAGAGAGTGAGGTACTGGCCTGTATTTCTCCTATTCCTGTTACAGAAGAAAATAAAAAAGAATCAGTTAAGTTTGGAGGGGTACCAAGGAACAATCACTTCCCACACCAAAGAGCAGGCTTTTTGAGAATGGTGTAATCATTATGTCCAGGAGGTGACTGCATTTGGATTAGGGTGGAGCATATGAATAATTGCTTCCCAAGCCATCCCCATATGCACACCTTGTGTAAATCTGAATTTTGTATAATTTAAACCAGAAAGCATTAAACTACTGCTATCTCATCTAATTTATGTACAGCTAAAACTTAATTGGCCTCATGATTTTTTGGCTGCACTGAATGCATGTACAGTACATGCAAAGGGAGACACGCAATTCCAAAATGGCCATAAAAAGAGCAAAAATTAAGTATCCAATTTAAAAAATAGGACAAACTACACACATTTCCTAACAATGGGAAAATAACCATTTTTTGGAAAGGAAAAACACACAAGAGAAAGTAGTAGTGAGCCAACTCTTATTTAACAGTCCATAATTGCAGGAGGGAACTCTAACCTGGGGATCTCAGTGATATTGGCAACTTTTCTGGACAATGCTTGTGTAATACTAAACTGTTGCTTTGCTGACCTACTTCTTTTCTGCTCAGGACTGCAGATATGCTGTTCTTCATTGTCTTCTAAGAACATTGCTGTATTCCTTGCCAACTGGCATTTTCTGTTCCCTTTCACCTGAACTCCTTAATACACTTCTACTTATTTTCAGCCTCTGACATTTCCCCTTCTTTTTGTAAATCTTGATGATTGGGATTCTAGTATAGAGGAATAATGTTGCATTGGTGACTGGACTTGGAGAAGGTGAGTAAATGAAAAATTGAATGGAAGGGAAAAGTTCTCAGCATATGCTGAGTTTTTGAAAATGTCCCTCTCATGTAGAAATATTTGGCAATTTTCACAAACAGACCTTGTTTCCTATCAGAAAGAAATCAAATTTTATTTTTGTTTGTTTGCTTGCTTGGTTTTGGGTTTTTTATTTTTAGTGTGGGGTTTAAATTTGAGGGGGGTGTTTGGGCTGGTATCCCAGGTAGTAACTCAACTCATTTCTCAAGGGGGAAGGTTTTACAGGCCCAGATTTTGATGTGAGAATAAAAGAAAAATATCATTATCCTTGGACAGAGTCATCAGCATAATCTGATAGTCAGGATACCTTACCATTATTAGTTTAAATCCAACGGAACCTTAAATCCATGTTTCTCTAATCTCAGTTGAGTGTCTTGAACTTTCCAGAAACTAACTAGGGATGACAGCCCTTTCCTGTTCTCATTTCATGCTGTGACTCCCTCCTTGTGTATTATCTCTCATCCCTCTCCTTCTTAATCATTCTGCTAATACCAGTGCTATTCAGAGCCAGTTCTTCAGCTGGCACAGGTGAAAAATCAGGTTTTGACCAGACTGACCAGACTTTGGCCTCAAATGTAATGACATTTAGTCATAGTCTAAAGGTCATGATTTCTGTAGCTGAACACTGCTGGGCTAGAGGAGGCCTAGCCAGCTGCCTCAACTAAGATCATCTTTTTGGCTGCTCCAGCTGAGGCACAGGACTAACATAAGAATTAGCAGAGGCAGAAAGCTGGCTGCAAATCCCGTTTTAGATGTACCAGGCAGAGCAACAGATCCAAACACACTTATTTTTAAATTGCATTTGTAAGCCAGGCATGACTGAACACAATTTCGTACATGCAAATGCATCTGTTTGCAAAGCTTCACATTAAATTACACTGTAAGAATCTGTGCCAACAGTTGACAACAGAGGTCCACAGAGTGGCCAAGTGTCATCATTTCTGGAAGGTATAACATGTAGATGTTAACACTGAGCTTCAATAAGTTGCAAAAACTCTTGGAAGTCAAACCAGGGGGCCCCTTTGGTTCCTGTCTACACAATTCTCCAGTAATACAACACAGCCTTCTCATGTGCTATTGCATTTGAAATGGAAGTGAAATGGAAGTTACCACACAGGTAACTCTGAGCAGTTCATCCTCTCTCCAACAAAATCACTAAAGCAGGTTTTGAAATGAGTTATGGTTTACCAAGAAATAATCAAAATTCAGTAGTGGTAAACAGAAGAGTCAGACCCTGAGCAAAGACACAAACAACTGCAGCATAGGCAACTACAACACAGTCAGAGGCATACCAGAGTCTGAACAATGGCATGGTTTGTTGCATTCATGTGGGCATTGAGGGGAAAAGAACACTCTCCATCACAGTAAAACGCAGCGTAGCCCTCCGGTGCAATAATCCAATCCTAAAACAACAACAAATAAATCCACTCATTATATTTTCTCACTCAGGGAATTTGTAACTATATCAAACTAAGACTTGCTCAATGACAAAATGAACTTCAGAAGGTGGCATGTGAAATGAATGTTTGTTTTTTTTTTAAAAAAAAGTACTTGCTTTGCTCATGTAAAATTGAGATGAAAATTAATGAAACCTAAAAATCTGTACTGAATACCAACTAATGAGGTTATAAGGGAGACTGAAGATTAAAATATATTTGCAGAATAATTTTTATTCCAGACTAAAAGTCTTGAGCACTTCTTGGTGCAACAAAAGTAATTAAAATGCATTGTCTTCCTTCAGCACAGTCAGCACTGTTAACTGTATTACTGTGTGAGACAGCGTTGCTAGGGATTACCTGTTGGCACATCAATGAATCATACATTTTCAGTATTTCAAGCAACACAGCATGGGCAAAAGACCGCAAGAGGGAAAATATTTTAAAATGTTAATGAAAGCTGTGTGTTTAGTTTGCTGAATTCCTCCTCTGCCAGGTAATGGAGGTGCTGCAGGAAGGGCAGAGAGGATCAAGTAGCTACTTGGGATTTGTATCTTTTTTTTTTTGTATCTTATTTCACCCTGTGTTTCACTGATCAAATATTGTACAGCGTAGCTCTGGCTTTCCAGCTGAAACTTTTAATTCTTGCAGTAGCCTTTGTGTTAAAAATAGATTTTCTTTTTTCTTTGACTACTGTGGCCACTATGGCCACTGATCTGAGAGCCTAGCACATCTTGGAGCATACCAGAATTTACTGTTAAAAAAAAAACCTGTTGATATCTGGAAAAAACCCCTGTAATCAAGAGACAATGGCTCGTTTGTTCAGTGGCCTGAGTTCAATACCACAACCCTGCTCTGTGGCCCTGCACAGGGTAATTATGCTTTGCAGACTTGGGAAAACAGCCTCTGCCTACTTCTTCAGGCTGCTGTGGGGATAAATATAATACAAAATATCAGAAAGGATAATGAGGCCATATGAGAGTCTGAGCTAGATACATAAAGGTTGAGCTGTCACTAAAAAGATAGCATACTTTTGCTCCTCATGGACTTGACCTGCTCCTGGAGAATGGTTTTTAAATAATTCAGAGAAATCTGAAATGCACAGGCAACCATCCCTGGGTTCTTACCTATATATGCAATAGTTAGAGGTTGCTGAAGGCCTTCTTGTTCTTTCTTTATAGAGAGTTCCTTGCTTTCTGGAAAAAAACCCTAAATTGATCTCTATTTTCTTTTCCCACAATGCCCTGCTTCTGACTTCACGACCTTTTACTGTAAGTATATTAACTTTTTGTTACTGTATGGCAGAAATTATATAAAATTAGCTATGGTATCATAAAGATCACTGAGCCTATTTTCCTTAGGGACATAAATCCAAGATTTATGTCCCTAAGGACTGTACCCCAGTGAAATCTCTATGACCTGCAGCAGACAGCACTTAACAAGGGGGAATTAAATCTGAACTAGTCAAAACTGAAAACTTTTCATTACTTGATGTGGAGATTTTGGTTTCATTTAGAAATTCACTCAACTCTTGAGCAGTAGTTTAAATTTATCTTTATGTGAATGAATCCATATCATAAAGTCACTAATGTATGCAATATGTTTGAGAGCAGAGCTAAAAAAAGGTAAAGTTATAGTGATAGCAATATTGATAAGGATTTGTTACAAAATGCATTTAAAGAATCTGTCTCTCATCACTTTAATACCAATTTCCATAAAGAAAGCAGAGTGTAAATAATGGGGGACTTTAAAATAGATTGTCCCAGTTTGAACCATTAGGAAAGAGCATTTATAATCTTACCTGCCATCCTAAGTCTCGGAAACTCACATAAAGTTCGTGTTTCTTACATGCTTGCTTTTGCTCGCTTGTGTTATAATCTACAGAAGTAAATAACATTCATAAATTATTTGGAAGCATTGCTAGAACTGAAAAGCTTTAGATATTTTTGAGATCCCTACCAAGCTGTACAAAGGAAAGGAAAACCATAATGTCATTTATACTCCTAGGGTTAGTTGTAAAGGCAATGTAAACCTGGAAATATGGAATCAGCACAGTCAGACTGATACAATTTCTGTGCACTGGCAAAATATTGCATATATTCCCAGTGTTAGGGGAAACAGGTTTACAAAATGTCTATTTGCTGGCCAGCTGAGTAACACCTCTGATAATATCCACACAGGTAATCAAAGAGGACAAGTGAGACCCTGATCCAAAATATCAGGGAAATCATCTCTAGGTTGGCACAGTTTTAATTACCAGGTAAAAAAAGTAGCCGACTTCAAAAGATGAATTAACAGCAATAAAAAATGTCCTGAAACAAGGGAATTTTCTACAGTATCTTAGTTAAACACATAATGGCACATATTATACTTCTTAATTTTTACCATATATTCTGGAAATATTCACCACTTGATGATCTTTAGTTGCTAATACTAATGTAGACAAGTAGACTAACAGGTGCTTTTTAAAGGACTGAAATCTCTCTGTCAGAGATGTGTCAGGATAGAAGGACACCCAGAACCTCCCATACATGCTTTTCCATGAGAACCTTACTCCTGGAGAAATTCTAGTGCTTGTTCCTTACTGCTCCTAAGTAACAGGAAAGGAAGGGAACAGGATCATGCCTTCATCACATTGGCCCCCAAAGTTGGTTTATACAGCTATTCATGTGGTGCCATAAGTGAGGCATGTGACAGAGCAGGGAGCACAGACTGTCTCCTCTGTTTCCAATTCAAGAATGCTTAACGTGACTTTTTTGAATCAAAATAACCATTCTGGGAAAAAAAGAGTTCACAACAAAATTCACAACAAAAACAACAACAAGAAAAAGCAAACAGACAAAAGTCCACAAAACCCTGAAAATGAAGACATGGAAAAATAAAACAAAACTTTCAGTTTCAGAAAAGGAATTTTTTAGGCACATTTCCTTTTTAACATTATAAGACTTGAGATGGAAATGGGAAGGTCTCTGAAAAATTTCAGGATAATTAAGATTCAGAGAGAAGCTCCTTTTTCACATAAAATTAAAGTAACTTCCACAGTCTGTTAACTAATCTGTGTAGCTCTTCACCATCCTTGCAGAAAACTCTTCCAAATATATGGCCTAGAGGAGTTTTTCTGCAAATTTGTCAAGTGCTTCTTGTCAGCCGTCCTGACCTCTGCTACCATTGCTTCTCTGGGTTTTCTTCAACTTCTCTGTGTCTTTCAAAAGATGTGATGGCCACAACCAAAACCAGTGTAAAATAAAGTCAAATAGTTGTTCAGGCTTGTTTTCTAGTAGTATTACCCAGAATATGAGCTTTTCAGTAAAACCACACTGTCAAGTAATCAGCTTCCAAACTTTTTTTAATGTATTCCTGCCTTGTCAGCCTTAGGAGTCTGTTGTAGTATTACAAATTAATGAATAAAGAACAGATTGTGGATGAGGATGATGATGAGAACTGCAGCATGATGGGGCTGCAGCAACCATGGTAGAGTAAAGGTTCTGAGGGATGATATCCACAACAGCATTGCAACCTGTTGCGAGTCAAGCAAATGTGGCACAAATCCACTGTGGTTGTCTACTGAATTCAAATTCAAATAGGAAGCAAAAGTAATGTGTAATTGGGATGAACCACACAGAAATAATATAAACATGTTGCCTGGGAAAACATAAGAAAAATACAGCTTTGTTGTTCAGTAGAGCAAAGGGCCTAGCGACAAGGACTCAGCAGAGGTTAATGTAGCCTGTGATTTCTTTGTCTTGTTTTTTACTGGCAAGATTTACCCCCAGGACTCCCAAGGCCCTGACCCTAGTGACTGAAGCTCTACCCACAGTAAAAGAGATAGAGTTAGGAGTCAGCTAAGCAGCTTGAAGATACATGAGTCCATGTGAGCAGAAGGGATGAATTTTAGGGTGGGGAATGAGCTGACCAGTGCTGCAAAGTCACTTCCTGCCCTTTTTGAGCATTCATACACCAAAAGACATTTCCGATGATTCAAAATGGAAAATGTCACACCTATCTTCAAGAAGGCCAATCAGCTTAACCACAGCTTCTGGGAAGTCTTTGGAACAAATTCTCATGGAAACTGTCCAGGCACGCAAAGAACAAAGGTGTTTTGGGAAGAGTAAGCATGAATTTACTAGTTCAAACTGTGCCTAACCAACCTAACTGTTTTCTGCAATGATCTGACTAGCTTTGTGGGCTTTTGAAGAGCTCTGGGTGTTGATCCCTTTGCTTTTAGGAAGGTTTTGGATATGGTCTCCCATCATATTCCTTGAGTCAAATTGGTCAAACCAATCAAAAACTTTGATAGGTTAGAGTACTCTGATAGGTAAGAATATAATGGATGGAAACTTGCCTAGGCTTCTGGGCCCAAACAGTCAGGATCAGTGGTACAGAGTCACCTGGAAGCTGGTTACTAGGGTGGTCCCTAAAGGATCAGTGCTGGTAGTAGCATCCTTTTCAGTAGCTTGGACAATAGAACAGAATGTGTTCTCTGGAAGTTCACAGAGGATATGAGATGTAAAAGAGGAGTGCTCCATCATCCAAATTACCAATAAAAGGTTGGACTGCACCAGACCCAGAAGAAACTCAACAAGATGTCATTCAAAACAGACAATATTTTCTTTTACTGGTAGCATGCTCTTTGAATAGGCTTTTTCTTTATTTTTTAAACAGGCTGTGTACCTACTTTCTATTGAATACACATGGGCCCAATATGACTCCCAAAACTGTGTCAAAAGCTGTCCACAAGTCACAAATGTGTCCATTTGCAATACTAGATAAGCATCAGGGATGTTAAGCTAGGCTTTTTAAGCTATGATTCCTCAAATCCTCATGGTTTTTAAAGACAAACACTGTGTTCTTTCTTATGGTATTTTCCTAGCCCTTCAATGACCACCATTAAAGGATCTCCACATAGAGCTGGTTATGTGCTGCCATCTCAGATACTTTTAGTTGTCCTAGGGCATGCAGGGTCAAAATATACACCCACATCCCATGGGATATCTATGTCTTTTTGGAGAAGCAACTGGAAGCAAGACAGGATGCCCTAAGACATCACAATTTTTCAAAAATCCATATGCCTTTATACAGCTAAAATCCCTGAGTCATACCTCGTGTTGAGTTGTATGTAACAATCCAATGGGTTTTGCACACACTCTAGAAGTAAAGGTAGTTAAAAGTAAAGGAACTTTAAAAAACTGGAGCTGTGTTCACTGATCACTCTTCACACAGTTCTATATATTCATTTTCACTAGCATCTGTGCCCATAGGAGATGAATATTGAGCTTTTCTGTCTCAGCTATTAGAGGGAATTTAAAACTCATACATATACAATAAAAGCCACTTTGCAAAAGAACTGTGACTGAAAAATGTGGAAAGTACGCACATGAGAAAGTCAGGAAAGCCACAATATGTTTTTTAATAGCACACAAGCAGGCAAACAAACGAAAGCTGAAGATTGTGGTTTTGCCAGCTTTCTCTGCAGTGATAGTTTCATATTCAAGAACATGTACAGAAGTTTTAGGGCCAAGATGTAGCAGAACATCCTCCAGTTAAAGGGGAAAATCTGAATAATACATATGTAAATCATTGCACAGATGTCATCATTGTTGTGATACTCTGAGCCATCTGAATACAGGTTCAGATGATGTGTGGTCACACCAGAACACCTGATAAAATGGCCAGCATGTACAGACTGTAAGCCATCTAACCCATTCACCTACGAAGAAAGTGAGACTCGGGAAAGTATGAATCCTTCCCTGAATTCTACCTTTCTTGTAGGACAAATGTTGTGTGTAATATAACATTTTATATAAGTATCAAATGTGACATTTATAATAAGATCTGGTGCTAAGGATTCAATTTCACACACTGTAGCTTCAAAGCCCATATGCTTATTCTGTCAAGAATCAAAACCATAGGCTATTGTGATTGAGAAAACATTGTTCCTCAGTGGAATCTAAATCCCTACATAGCAGAAAAAAGCTGTGGAAGGAGGTCAATAAAATATATGTATAAGAAATTTAATGAGATTTTTTTTTTTTTCAGGGGAAATAAAGACATAAAAACATGCTTATACATACTGTTGCAAAATACTATATTTTGAATCAGTTCATGTAACACCAATCAATAGCATACACAAAATTTAGTCTTAAGTATTGTTTCTTTGTTTTATCTCCATATGAATAAAAATTATGTAGCTTTGTTTTTTAGTTTCCTGGTGTAAGTCACTATTCAGTATTTAAATGTGGCTATTCTCTAGTGCCCAGTTACACTGTAACTCTTTTCAGACAATGCTAAAAAAGTTAAAATTTAGCCAGCTTTTTTTTTAGGGGAGAGTTATGTGGCTTACTTTGTAAACAACCTGCCTGGTCTTGTTTTGGTTTGGGGACTTTAATTTTTATTTCTTCTATCTATAGTTCAACAAAAATAAAACTAGGTAAATAAAAGAGTTTAATCCTCTGTGCATAGCAGACAAGTAGAGCCTGAATGCTAAGCTTAATTCTGTCTGTCTTTACACTGCATTGATGTCATCTCCTCTTGAAGTTCTTAGCAACACAGGGGTGGTGACCCCAAGTCTGTCAACAATTTACCAGGTGTTATAATAATAGATACATAAGATTTTATTCTCTTATATTGAGATTGTGTATATGAGAGAATCACAGAATGTTAGTTGGAAGTGACCTTAAAGATCATCTACTTCCAACTCCCCTACCAGGGGCAGGGAGTCCCCTCATTTCCACTAGACCAGGTCTCTTCCAACCTAAACCATTCTATGATTTCATGAAACTTCATGAGTAATTTTAAAAATGTCTTGTCCTTTGGAAGGGAAGAGCTGGGTTGTCTGGTGGAGCTTTCCTTTTTGACAAGCTGAGAACACAGTAAAGCAAATTGATGAAATCCAAGAACTTAAAAAAGGAAAAAGAGGGTGGCAAAATACAAAATGGAAGAGGCAAAAGAAAGATGAAAAAAGGCAAGAGCAAGGGGAAAAGGGAGAAAAGAAAAAAGAAAAAATAAGGGGAAGAAAGGAAGAGAAAACAAAGAAGCAAGGAGGAAGTGAAGACATGATTGTGATAAAGTTGAGACTGATGTATAGAAAGAGAAATATTAGAAGTCTGTCATATATGAATGACAACATGCCTATCTGGGCCTGGCTACATTACCTCTGGCTATGTAAGTGAGCATTTTCCACTGTCAGTGTCTGTCTTACTTGCTGTAGATACAAGGTCATGGAAGAAGCTTAGAAACAAAATACCTACATCACACAATTATCTTTGCTGGTCACTGTGTCAAGTGTCTTGCTTCAAGGAATGAATGAGGATTGAATACAGTCTATTGACTATCTTCCATGAGAAAGATGATGGGCAAAATTATTTTTTTCCCAAAGACTTTTGTGTTTAAATATGAAGATGTGAATTTTACTTTCGAAGTTCTGCTCATTACTGAAGCTATAGAGAAGTGGGACAATTAGCCTTCACCACAAACATAAAGGGATGCAGTATGTCCCCTAGATCTTGGGCTGGAAAAAAGAGAAAGAGCATAGCTTCTCTCTGATAGCAGGCTCTCCATATAGAGGGACTATATTCTGAGAAAAGTCAGAGATCAGAGAAATAAGAACATGTATAGTAGAGGTGGCCTTTGAGTCCTAGCAAGATGCATGTATTGTACTTGAATATCTGTACATAGGCTTTGCCCCGGGAGGTCCCGGTTGTCCTTGATGGGCTGCAGCTGCGATGTCCTTAATTGGGCTGCAGCTGTGACCAATGAAGATAACTGGGATAAAAGGGGGTGGGTTAGCCAGTCTGGGTGAGCCTTGGAGGAGCCCTGAACTGAAAAAGAACAACATACAGTGGAAGGAGTCTGTTTTGTGAAGATCTGCATCCATAAGAACATGCTGAAGCGGTATAGGCTTTAGAAATCTGATAACAACAGTATGAGACTCTAGAAATAGAACAACAACAAACATGTTTTTTTCTCTATGTCTTTTTGGCATGCTGGTGACATCTGGACAGAATCCCTATATTGCCTTTGCAGCCTTCAGCATTCTCATCCACAATATTTCAAGAGTATTGTTGCAGTAGTTATTAAAAGAATTCTGGATCACCCATGGTGGGAAAAGTCCAGTGAGCAATCGTTAATGATACCCAAACAAATTTGTTTATTTGTGACATGGGGATTGTTGAGGTAAACTGCAAGGGAAGCGCACGGAATGTGGTTTGCCACAGTGCAGGAACTACACCTTCAAGCAGTTTTGCCACAGATGTTGCTATGTGAAGCTGTGGTCACTTATCTACCTTCAGCTTTGCCATCTTTTCCAGCCTGCCTATATCTTAATGCCTCCCTCTCCAGGCAATGCTTCTCATTTTGATGCAATTGCATGTGCAATTGCTTCTTAACCTGATTTTCTCTTAACAGTATGGTTTTCTTGACCTGAAATCTCTTCTGAAAGAGATCTGCTATGGATTGACCTATGTAGTGGTGTACTCTATGCTTATGTAGACCTTAAAAAGATTAGGAGAAAATTTGTTTCTTAATACCCATTTCACTAGAGATGTTCTGATTTTCTTATTTTACAACAGGTCTGGAGAACAACTAGATGCAGAGACAAGGTTGAAAAGTATTTTGAGACTTACAGGCAGCTCTCCCTGAGGTAATTCTTATGTCAATACAATGTGATAAGGTTGTGTTTTTCCCAGGTTAAAGCAGCAAGGAGCTTTGGCTTTCCTGTTATAATCAATGGGGCTTAAAAAATCTGCTCATTTCTCACTTTTTTGTGCACAAGATACATAGGATTCAATCTGAAAGTGTGATATTTATATTTAGGTATCTTGCATGTACCATTTACTTAGGTGATTATCCCTTCACCCAAAATAATGTAATTCTCAAAATCAGCAGACTTTCCAGAGAATATGAAAAATTATTTAAATAATTTCTTTGATTTCTTTAGCAACTTAGCAGTAATTTTTGGTTGTTATGGTAAAATTTTCCTTCTGCAAAAGATCTGGGAAAGGCTTTTCATTGTATTAGAGTAGTCTTAGCCTGCCTATGTCAAGGTTCTGAGACACATATAAGTAATGCATATTGCTTATAAGATTTCTCCTCAAATAGGTGAGTCCCACCCTAAGGTTAAATTCCTTCCACAAAATATTGATTTGCTTACTTTTAGACTTCCATGGGATTTAAGAACAGCACTTATATTAAGGCTTTGATATGCTGTTATTAAATCTGCCATGCTTCTAGAAAGAAACACTTTCACACCCTTTTCCCAAAAAGTAGAGATGTTTGTTCAGAAGTGAGAATATTTAGAAAGTGACTTTGTGCCTTCAGCTGAAAGGATTGTTTCAGGAAAAACTGGAGCAAAATTTATTCCAGGCTCTAAAGCAATTAAGAACATTTTTATGTGCACTATTGTCCATATCTTTCAGGTAAGGGACAAAATTCACTCCATAGCAGGATATATTTTATATTTATATCATTACTTGTCAGCTGGTCTGAACTCCTAAGCAGTTTACAATTTTGCAGATTGATTTAGCTTCCTCATTTCCAGTATTGACTTTTTAATGTTACATCTTGCCTTCTTCAGCTGAGGCAGTTTTGCTGAGGCTTGCTAGACAAGTAGTAGGGGTGAAATCCTTTTCCTCTATTTTTTACTTATGCATAGCAAAGACATCATCCAGTTGGATACTGTGTAGGCTTAGTTTCAAGCTCAGACACAGACTTTCTTAAACTGCTTGGTCATTTCACCCTCCTGAGGCCCATGATACATGTAATTGATCTGACTTACAGAAGGTAGATCACACCCAGGGCCAACATAACAAAAGGGGAGTGGGAACACTGTTTCTGGCAGTTCAGCCAGTGAGCAGCACCTTTTTGAGCTGTTGTGACTGTATTGCATTTGAGCAGGTGCCCATACCTCCCATAAAAAGACTGCAAATCACAGCTCCATCTTACCCCCAGCGCTTGGCATCCTAGAGGACTCCTGTTGACTACTGGATTTGTTGCGGTTCTGATTTTTCCTCTTGTTGTTGGCTGCTCGGACAGAACGGAAAAGCACTTCACTTGCCTTGAAGAATGCAACCATGAATGGTTGCTTTGACTGAGGCCCATGTCTTCCAACCAGGCCAGCAGATTTAACATTGATACTTCGACCTAAAAGCAAGGGAAATTAGAAGTTAAAAAGTGAACCTCTGCCTCTTCCAAAGCCAGAGCAGGAGTTCAACTGCTGACTGAATCATAGCAAGGAATTTGCTGCAATCCTGAATTGATATGATTAGGAGTCTACCCACATTTTGTTTAGCAGAACTTAAAAAGACAAAAAAGCTAAGAAATTTGCAAAAGTTTCAACAGCTTTACAGATACAATTTTTATTTCATAAAATTGCAGTTTCTGTGTGCTATATGTCTTATTCATTACAGAGTAGTTTTAATTCAGTCTCATATACATCTATAGAACTGAAAAATAAATGAGGTCCATTAAAGTCTATTTTCTATAGAAAGGATAATGTAATGAGGTCTTCTAATTTTGCATCGTTTCAGTGGGATGTGGAACTTTATATCCCCCAAGCAAACCAGTAGCAAATGGAAGTGTAAATAATAAATATAATTCTGCTTTTAAAATAAATACTGTGCAGTGTTACTCAAATGGATGTTCATTCACCAGTAAAGGTAGGAAGCCATTCAGTTGTTCAAGAGAAGAGAGTTTGAAATATGTGTATTATTGACTCTGGTTCTGTTCCCGGGGGATGTGCATATTTCTTTAAAATATTTGTTCAGTCAGGACTGTGTGGTAACCTCACTATATTATGTGGTCTAAACCTCACTGAAAGAAAGGAAAGCAAAACAAGTCACTGAAACTGCATCAGTGACATTTTAGCAAATAAACCCTCACTCTTAACAGAATTTATTTTGGCAGCATAAACACTTTTGTGCGTACGTGTATTATGCAGAGCCCTTCAAGCGTCAGAAAATGAGACAGTGTCATGTGAAGCTGTGCAGCTGTGCAGGGTGGGGACACAGAGGTCCTTTAAAGCCAGGGAGGCTCCGGGCACGGGCACCGCGCACCGGGCGGCACCGGGGCGCCTTGGCACTCTTCTAAACCCGCTGGAAAATTCGGTACGTGGGCAACAAAGGAGCATCTGCCTCACAAATGTATAATGCTGTTAACTCAATCACCCTGAAAAAGAGCTTGAAAACATAGGAGTAAACATTATAGAAATAAGCATATAGGTTTCCTTTTCAAACACAAACTCACAGTGGCTGCACGCCAGAGTCTATATTTCTTTAAAAAACTCTATCACTGGCGTAAATGAAAGAGGCAGTTTGATTTGTGGTTAAAGTAGTTTCCATTCTACTTCCACTGTAACAAATGTATTAATTCAGCTCAGACTTCCTCCTTCTGGCAGCCCTTTTGCAGTAAAAAGAGAAATTAGAAGTTCCAGCCAAATACCATACCTTGAACTGACCCACTTCAATACATAAACACTTTTACAACATGTTTATTCAGGTGTAGCACTTTAAATTGGTTTAAGATGTTTCCAGTGACAGAGAGCCCAGCAAAGGCAAGAGAAGAACTGAGAAAGTTAGCAGTTATGGAGCAGAGTAATTGGCAACATATTCTGAACAATTTTGATAATTGCTTTTTTGACTGCAATGGAAAAATATATTTGTTGAAGCTTCTGATTTCATTTTAAATGCTTTTTTAGTCTTGTGTTTCTTTAATTCTTTTTTTCATGTGTTTGAGTTACTATTAAATAATTCAGTAACATTAATTTCTATATGTTCCAATATTCTGCTGCAAGTCAGATATGAAAAACTGTACATGCTATTCTCTATTCATAACAACATGGACAAGCTAGCTTCTCACCACAAAGTTCCACATTTCCCTTCATTTCTAGAGGGAATATTTTTACTATTTTTCTTTGCTTTTCATTCCAATGACTTTCAGAATTTTAATTTTATCTGTAAAATATTAATGCCTTACTGCTGGACATATGGAGAATACTATTAGATTTATATATTGAGAACTGTAAAGGTGTGTGAAGCTTTTCTGAATTTAAATTTAGGTTCCCTGAATTTACAATGGTGGATATTGTGTGCGAAGCAAAATATCCTTCAAACCAATGTGAACTCCCTTTAAAATAACTTTTAATATTACTAAGTTTCCTCTGGGTTTCCTTTAGACTTCAGCAATGAGATGGCTATTAAGATTCCACAAGTTAAGGCTTACTTGGTTATCCAGGGTATAGAGATATACTATAAAAAATTAATCCTGTAACCCACAGCCTTTTTAAACAGAGAAACAGCTTATGTGACTATATTCCTTTATGTGCTTGATCTCCTAAGCAGCCAGCATAAGATTTTAGGACTCATTTGTTCAGTTCATGAATGGTATATGCACTGGATCTGCTTCTTGTGCAGAGGAAAGCTTTTATTGACTTCTGTGGGTACATTGTTAAACTTTTCTCTCTCAGTTTATCATATACCTTAGCTTAACTGCAACTTTCAGAAGATGAAGCAATCAAAATATACACTGCCCTTGAGACACTATATTTCTTCTGTGGAGGATCTCTGAACTGTTTGGTTTGGAAATTCAAACGACATATGTTGTCTCCATTTTAGGTTGCTTCTTTTCAAAAGAAATTTTGCATTTACAGAACTTCTATTATCCTTTATTAAAATAAAAAAAAGGAAGAAAAAATTTGAAAATGGTCTTCAGTCTAAAAAGCATTTCCCCTTCTTGAACAGGAGCTATTTCAAAACATTCTGCTTCTGAAAAGCATCAAGCTTTCTGCCATAGCAGTAGCTCCACTGTGTGTGTCATGGTCTTGTTAGGTAGTCCTTATTTTTGTTTGTAGTGTCAGTTTCAGTATACATTAAAAAAATATTTGCTCTATGCTGAATTTCCCCTTGTAGCATTCATTTTTGTAAGTGGTTTTAAGCTATCATTTCTTGTAAACATTTCGAAAACTCTTGGCTTCAATGGCAACTGGAAATCCAGGTCTCTGGGGCATGCAGTTGTTCCATACTGTGGCATTAAAGCAATACTTTCTAAAGTCAGCTGAATGACTCAGGCTGACCTGCTTAACTACACTCAGAGCTTCAGCCAGATGAAACTCATAAAACCAAAACAGCGAGGTTTGTCTTTCTGCTTCTCTTGAGCATCTCTGAGCAACGCTGTCAAGCATTCTGAAAAATGGGCTGCATTCTGTCCTTCCATCAAATCTTTAATTCTGAGGATTTCAAAGATTTTTTTCAGATTTCAGAAGAAAAGAAGTGCAAGTAACCAGTAGTCTGCTAGTGCCTGCTCCACTGAACTTAGCCACTGCAATTGCCCCTACACCTAGGAAAAACCCCAAAAACACAATAGATGGATTTACTCTGTGCAGTGATAGTCCAGAGCACTTATATTCTTCACATTTTGGCATGTACTTCTCAAAACTGCTCTGACAATTATCTCCTCTACACACTGGCAGGTATATTTGGAGACTAAGACTTATTTAAAGCATTATGTTTCAAATTTGCTGAACTCCTTAGTCCTTATTCATAGGATTCTGAATCTTTGGCAAGATGTATTTGTTTGACTTGGCATTTAAAATTCTTTTTGGCTTTTATACTATTTGATAGTAAAGTGCCCTTAGCAGTTTGCATAAAAGCTTGCATGGACGTTTGGGTTTGACTGACTGAACTGAATGAATATTATTTGCTTTTTCACATTCTCTTCCCTTATAATAAAGGAATCACTGCTGCAAAAATAACTGTGAAATTCAGCTTACAATGAGGTCCTATCTCAACAATCCTGACAATTCTGTGTTTTTTTTATTTTTTCACCCACAAAGTAGGAATTGCACTTGGGTTGATAACAGCAGAGCTATTTGCTGTGTCACTCTGTCTGCTTCAGTTCTGTCACATGAAGTCATATCATACAATCCTTTGCATGAACTGATCAAGTTCCATCTTAAAAGTTCATTTCCCCTCCAGCTGCTCCAAATGGAAATGCAAGAGCCCTTCAAGCTTTCAATAATACTCTGTCTTGCAGTCTTGACCTGGAGACATATCCTTGTTTTTCATAACATTCAGAAAGCTGACTTTTTCCGAGACTGCCGGTGTGGATGCTCGTGACAGTAAGATCTGTGCCTTGGCTTTATCTCCTCAGACAGCATATATTTTAAGTAAAATATTGATCAGCCACTTATTTTGCAAGAGCTTTCAGTCATTATGCATCCTAGCCAGATTTACACTGGCAACACAGCACAATAAGTAATTCCAAAATCCATTATTTTGTCCTGAGTCATCAGCCTGCACCAAACCACTCATTTTGTTATGAAAAACAAGAACTTATTTACTTTCAAAAGTGTTCAAGAAGTCACAAAACAGATTTTATAGATTAACCACTACTGCTAGGTCACAGTAGTTATTTTGGTCATAATTTTACGTATTTTTACTTGGAAATGAAAAATTTAGCCATTCTGAGAATTCATTTCAATGCAGTTTGCTGAAAAAAAAAAAATTAAAGTTCTAATGCCACACCTAGGATTTCCTTCTTTTGGGCAGTGACATCTGAAATGAGGAAAGGCCTTTTGAAGAAAGATCCTGAGCATCCAAGGTCCAATAACAATTCATATTTGAGCAAAAAACTGCCCATAGGCTCTGACTATGAAAGCTGACACAGTAGTTTTCAGAATTAGAGAGAAACTTTCATGGTTTTTCATGCCCGAACAGCACTCTCAAGAGCAGTGGGACTTGAAACAAAAGAATTGAGCTGGAGCTTGGCTACCTAAGCTTATTTTAATAAAAGACAAGAGAAAAGCTAATAACACCCATGTGATGGTCTGTATATAACACATCCTCAACACTCCAACTCTAAAGTATTTTTTTACTGTCCCTATTGTATTATCTACATAAACTGTTGCTCAAACTTTTCCTTTGGTGGACACATTTATCTATAACAACATAAAATATGCTTTTGTCACATGCTTTATGTGTTTTATTAACTCTTCTTCTCCCTGGAGGCTTTAAGGAATTCTGACAAATGGGTGGTCTTGGATGCTGTACTCTGCCTTTCCTAGGCTTCACAGCTTTAGTCAAGATTCATCTTTTGTTTGTCAAATCTTACATTTAGTTGTTTTTACTCAGTTCATTTAAAGGAATTTT